CTGCTCCTATGATGCTGCTTGGCCTGCTGTGTTCATCCAGCCCTGCACCTTGTTGTCGCGGATTCTCCAGCATCTGCAGTTCCTACTATCTCTCTACATTATTTGGGCAGGTTGCCCGTTGCCGTGGTGACCAAGCGGCGCTGCCGTTGCCCGTTGCCGTGGTGACCAAGCGGCGCTGCCGTTGCCCGTTGCCGTGGTGACCGAGCGGCGCTGCCGTTCCCCGTTGCCCTGGTGACCGAGGGGCGCTGCCGTTCCCCGTTGCCCTGGTGACCGAGCGGCGCTGCCGTTGCCCGTTGCTGTGGTGACTGGGAGACCGCGGCCTTCCCTCTCGGTGGCTGCCCGGGCCCGGGGAATGGCGAGGGGCCAAGACCTCAAATTAACCCAGGGCCTTCCGTCTCTCGCCTTTGAGGTACCGCTTACCGAGGAGGAAACAGACTTAAGCGAATACCTTCGGATCCGGACATGGACCCTGACCGTCTGCGCCTGTGCACACGCCGCCTTCTACTGCCGGCTACTGACAGCGGTCAGGTAATCAGAGCTATCCCTAACCCAACACTAAACAAATTGATGGAAAATGTGTCGAGGGAAAAGTCAGAGTTAACGTTGATGAAGGGTCTAGGCCCGAAACGCCGGCTTTCCTGCTGCTATAATGCTGCCTGACCTGGCGTGTTCCTCCAGCTCCACACTGTATCAATCCCTGATCCATATCAGGTGTCTCAGTGGTTAGCACTGCTGCCACACAGCCCCAGGGACTTGGGTTCACTTCCACCATTGCTTGACTGCCTGTGTGGTGCTTGCCTGTTCTCCCTGTGTCTATGTGGGTTTCCTCTGGTTTCCTTCCACAGTCCAAAAATGTGTGGGTTGGGTGGATTGGCCATGCTAAATTGCCCTTAGTGTCCAGGGATGTGCAGGCTAGGTGGATTGGCCATGGGGATGCTGTTTGGTGGGGTCTTGATGGGCTGAATGGCCTGCTACCACACTGTAGGGATCCTATGATTCAGCTGCTCTTCCCAAGACTGCAAGAAGCTACTGCATTCTGAGGAAGGGTCACTGGACACAAAATGTTAACTCTGATTTTTTTCTTCACAGATGCTGCCAGACCTGCTGAGCTTTTCCAGCAACTTCTGCTTTTGTTAGAAACTACAGAGAGTTGTGAACACAGCCCAGTCCATCACGCAAACCAGTCTTCTATCCAATGACTCCATTTAATACTTATCACTGCAGCAGGAAAGCAACCAACATAATCAAAGACCCCTCCTACCCTGATTATATTCTCTTCCACCCTCGTCCGAAGAAGGTATAAAAGTTTGAATACATCTACAAATAGATTCAAGAAAGCTTCTTCCTTGCTGTTATCAGACTTTTGAATTTTAAATTTAATGTTGATCATCCTCTCTGTGCACTTTGTGTGCAGCCGTAACATTGTATTCTTTGATCTGTTCTATTACCATCAATCATCATAGAATCTTTACAGTGTGGAAATAGGCCCTTCGGCCCAACAAGTCCACACCGAACCTCAGAGCAGGAGGCAGTCAGGAAGGGAACTGGAAATTGTCAATATGGCAGAAGGCATCAGAGGTGGGCAGGGTCTGGACAAAGGGAGACAGGATGGAGTCAAGATAGGAAGAAATGACCTTGGTGGGGCAGGAACAGGTTGATACAATGGGCCTACCATAACAGTCTGGTTTGTGGATTTTGGGAAGGAGGTAGAAGCAAACTGTCCAGGGTAGGGAGACTACAAAGTTAGAGGCAGCTGAGGAAGATCTTCGGAGGTAATGAGGTAGGTGACAATCCTGGCAACAATGGCTTGATGTTCTGATGTGAGGCCATGATCCAGGAGCAGGTAGGAAGTGTAGAGAATTGGTGTTGAGCAAGGTAAAGATCAGTGCACCACCTTGTCAGCGGGTGTGATGACAAAGTTAGGGTTGGACCTGAGAGAGCGAAGTGCGGCAATTTCAGAAGGAGACAGGTTAGAGTGGGCAAGAGGAGCAGAGAAATTGAGACGGCTGAAATCATGCTGACAGCTTTCAATGAAGAGATCAAGGGCAGATAAGAGACCAGAGGAAGAGGTTTAAGTGGAGGGTGAATACTGGTGGTGGGTGAAGGGAATCAGTGGAATGAGGTGGGGGAGTCTTGTCCAGAGAAGTGAGCACAGAGGCGGAGGTGGCGGAGAAACAGTTCGACATCATGGCGAGCCCGAAATTCATTAAGGTGGGGGCGTAAGGGCATGAAGCTGAGTCTTTTGCTGAGGACAGTACATTCAACTTCAGAGAGGATAATGTTGGGAGGTACAGTGAAAACACAGCAAGAGTGGCTGTTGGGGGGAATGATCTCTGGGGGACAGAAAGGGATGGCATCTGAGGGCTGGGAAGAGATGGGTGCTAAGGAACAATAAGGGATCGGTTCTGAGTGACAGGAGCAGATGAGAGACAGGAAGGGAAGGCTGGTGCAGGACATTTGTTGGAGTCCATTAGTTGCTGGAGCTTGCATACCTTGATGCCTGAAAGAAAGAGAAAAAGTCTTTTTGTTGAGGCAACGGATGAGACGAAGGATGAAGTGAAACTTGGAAATGGCACAGATTTGAGAGAGGGTTAGTTGATGTTGCTGCAGAGTGGAGACAGGTACGTATATATGATAGCACGTGGCACTGATTGTGAATCGCAGGATGGGATAGGAACAGCATTCCAAGGAATATTGTTGTATGTGACAGTACTTGAATGATTTAACTGATATCACAAAATATCTATGACCATCAGGGTGGCTAGGACTATTTCTGGGAGGAGCTAATCAGTTGTTCAGTGTGTCAGACGAGTTTTCCACCTAGCAGTTGCTGTGCTGTTGTTCTGCCTCATTTAATCGGATTATAGGTCATCTCTTCACTTGTTATTTAGCTGTTGACACTTCACTCACACCGTATAACACTTCTGATCACCTGCAGGGACTTATTTGACTTTCCACTCACACCGGTTCGCAACAAAGAACTGCACCTCCCAGTTGCGAACCATTTCAACTCCCTCTCCCACTCCTTAGATGACATGTCCATCCTGGGCCTCCTCCAGTGCCACAACGATGCCACCCGAAGTACCTCATATTTCGCTTGGCAACCCTGCAGCCCAATGATATCAATGTGGACTTCACAAGCTTCAAAATCTCCCCTCCCCCGACCGCATCCCAAAACCAGCCCAGCTTGTCCCCGCCTCCCTAACCTGTCCTTCCTCCCACCTATCCCCTCCTCCCACCTCAAGCCCCATCTCCATCTCCTACCTACTAGCCTCATCCCGTCCCCTTGACCTGTCTGTCCTCCCTGGACTGACATATCCCCTCCCTAACTCCCCACCTACACTCACCTTTACTGGCTCCACCCTCGCCTCTGACCTGTCTGTCTCCTCTCCACCTATCTTCTCCTTTATCCATCTTCTATCCGCCTCCCCCTCTCTTCCTATTTATTTCAGAATCCCCTTCCCCTCCCCCATTTCTGAAGAAGGGTCTAGGCCCAAAAGGTCAGCCTTCCTGCTCCTCTGATGCTGGTTGGCCTGCTGTGTTCATCCAGCTCTACACTTTGTTATCTCAGATTCTCCAGCATCTGCAGTTCCTATTATCTATGATCTTTTGATCTGTCTGCCCTTGATCCCTCAGCCCATAAATTCTGTGTTTTGCATGATTCTGTCTCACTTCACCTGACGAAGGGGCGATACTCTGAAAGCTTGTGATTTCAAGTAAACTTGCTGCACTATAAACTGGGATCATGTGATTTCTGACCTGATCCTGATTGTCTGCTATGGGACTACCATGTACCTTAGGTATACTATAATCAGATACTAAGTAATACATAGTAAACACTTACTGATTAATTAAGAAAAAGCCAACACCTGCTGAAGAGTTCTTGTAAGCATCTATCTCCACATGATGTCAGTAGCTTGCCTAGTAGCAGCTAAAGAATTGATGGTTGCAAATTTACCCGGTGTATCTCAGACGTTTCTGGTAGAAACAATCATTTACAATATGGTGGTTGCAATGGCAACTCAAAACTTTATTTAGCCATTCTTTTAGAAAATGGTGGCGGCACTTTAGAAAATTGCAACTGTGATGAGATCTGAAAATTTGATTTAGTGATGCATAGATCATTGAATCCCTACAGTTTGGAAACAGGCCCTTTGGCCCAACAAGTCCACACTGACCCTCAGAGCATCCCACGCAGACCCATCCCCTATAACCCACCTATCCCTGAACACTACGGGCAATTTAGCATGACCAATCCACCTGGCCTGCATATCTTTGGGCTGTGGGAGGAAACTGGAGCACCTGGAGGAAACCCACGCAGACATGGGGAGAATGTGCAAACTCCACACAGACAGTTGTCCGAGGGTGGAATTGAACGCGGGTTCCTGGTGCTGTGAGGCAGCATTGCTAACCACTGAGCCACCGTGCTGCCCCAAATGCCTTGACAGTAATTATCACTGAGCAAATCACAATACCAATCATAAATATTACGGTGCAAATCAGAGCACTTAATCATCAATATCACTGGAAAAAAATCACAGTAATTAGTATATTAGTCATCAACGTCTTATCAATCAATTCAAAATCACTGATATAACAAGGTGTAGAGCTGAATGAACACAGCAGGCCAAGCAGCATCAGAGGAGCAGGAAGGCTGATGTTTCGGGCCTAGACCCTTCTTCAGAAAATTTTCTGAAGAAGGGTCTAGACCCGAAACGTCAGCCATGCTGCTTGGCCTGCTGTGTTCATCCAGCTGTACACCTTGTTATCTCAGATTCTCCAGCATCTGCAGTTCTTACTATCTCTAATTCAAGATCACTGCTCAGATAATAGCAATCAATCATCGACATCACAGAAATAATATCATAAAACGAATCACAGCAACCGATAGTTAATTCTTAAATAAGTTCCATGCAATCAGTAATATCTGTCTAATAAATCATTGGTTTTCATACTTTCTTGGTTGGAGAGACTCCTTTCAGATGAATTATTAAATACACAACTAAAGATTAATTCTGTAAATGTTACAATGCTGCAGTACTTCTTAAGAGGAACACATTTGTTATGAGGATTTTTGAAATCAGGTAACCAGTTAGTTAAGAGTTGCAATGTGTCAGTTATTTCCTTATTTTCGACAGTGTTGAGACAGAGCAGATAAATGAGACAAAGAGGATGTAATTCCATTGGCATTTCAGTGAAAGCCCACTGAACAGCTTTTAAATGGCTAAAGATTATTTGAAAACATACATACTCAATAACAGTTCACAAGTCAGATCCAATATAATGAACGGTTGGCCAGATCAGTATTAACAACAGTCTGTTAATTTGTTCAGTGTAGGTTACAATTGTATTTTTTTAAAAAAATACAAGTCTCAGTTGAACTACAGAGTACTCACTTGAACGTGTCAATCTGGAGAATGTTTTGCAAAATGTGTGAACCCAAACCAGTTTCTCAGTATTACTTACTAATGTAACAATTTGCATTATTTACAAGAGGGTACAAGATTTAAGTAAATCATCCTGACATCTTTTGTGCAATCACAAGAATCAAACCAACAAGAGATTAATATGAACGGGAAATGCTGGGAATACTCAGCAGGCCTCAGAACTATAATGGCACTTGCTGACTGCATGAGTCTTCATTGAAGACAGTCAAATTTTGCAGCAGCTGCTGCTCTCCCAGACTCCAAACAACAGCAATGAATAAAAATAACATTCAAATAACTAAGAACAGCAGTCAATAATGAACCCTAAATAAACAAGTGAAAATAAGCCAATTATAACCAATAATAACACAACAAAAATCATCACATTTATAACTGAGAATGACATGGATGCAAACAATTAAATCCCTTCAGAGGATCACTCAACCCAAAACGTTAACTCTGATTTCTCTCCACAGATGCTGCCAGACCTGCTGAGCTTTTCCAAGAATTTCTGTTTTTGTTGCTGTTGGTGTAAATCATAGCAGGCTTCAACTAATAAATGATCAGTACTCTTATTCATCAATTCATTGTTGTTGATTGCATGTGGGTGACTGTTGTACAATACTTAGCTCAATACTATTCATCAGAATTTTAAATTATTAATTTAAGTGTTAATTATTTATGAATTGACAGGAAGAGGGCAAGGTCAAGGAGGGATATTGAAAAGATGGATAAGAATTTGAAAATCCAAATTGCCAAATTTGGAGCTAGTCTAGATCAGTGAGCAGAGGCTAATAGCTGAATGGGATTTGGTGCATGTTAGGACTTGGGCATTAGAGCTTTGGACAACCTCAAGTACACATATTGGAGGGTGTGGAAGGTGTTGGTGATTTGGAGGGGTGGTGCAAAATGTGGGAGACCAGCCAGGGGTGCACGGAATCATCAAGTCTGGAGGTGACAAAGGCGTGGATGGAGGTTTTAGCAACAGATGAGCTGATACAAGGGCAAAGGGGCAAATGTTAGGTAGAAATATGTGAAATTTGTGATGGTATGACAACGTGATAGGTAGCTCAAAGTCAGCATTGTGCTAATGGATGGCATTACCAAGGGGAGGCATAAAAATGAGAAACGAGAAATGAGAAATAGCTTATCTCAAGGTCAAATATGACCGGAAGCTGTGAAAAGTCTGGTTCAGTCTTAGACAGTTGCCAGGAAGAGGGATGGAAACTTGCCAGTATTTAATGGAGCTTATTTCTGTTCATTCAGTCCTTGCTGTCAGACAGGCAGTGTGGCAGTTTAGAAACTGTAATGATTCAAGGCAATAGCGAGTAGGGTACTAGCTATTAATGCTGGGTATTGTGGAAACTGACACTATTTTCAGATTGTGTTGTCAAAAGGCAGCTTCAGGATGTGGAATAGGAGGAGGCCAATGATCAATTCTCAGAGATCATCTAAGATAATGGTGGAGGAATCCCATAGGGAATTCAGGAAAAACCTCTTTATCCAGTAAGTGGTGAGAATGTGGAATCTGCTATCACAGGAAATGATAGATGGACATAACAAAAAGCACATATGAAATAACGGGATAGTGCAAGAGGGAGAAAGAAATAGAAGCATAAACCATAGTTCTAGACCAGTACTGAAGGGGCTATTTCCTTTCTGTAAGTGCACTGTACCTCAATGTGACGCAATGCTCAAAATAAGCTAATTGAGTTTTCCAATTTCTACAGATGCAAAATACTGAATGGAATCCATTTTACCAACTCCTGGATAGCAAAATACCAGATCCTTAACTTTAACAGAGGATCTCTGAGAATTGGGGTGCTTGGCTGTGGCCACTTCGGGAAGCAACTGGTATTATCCTTACTTCACCTGACAGACCTGACTGCAACATGTATCACTGTCTCTACCAGGAGACCGGAAAAGCTCAGTACGTTGTTTTTTTTTTAAATGAGTAAAGTTCTAATCATGTTCTATATTGAAGCAAGAGCTGAAAGAAAGGAAGTGGTTTAAGAACCTCAAGTTTGCTCAACCTCTCAAGTGATTTTAACAGGATTTTTGAATAAATAACGTGAATAAACATGCACAAATCTGGGAAGTTTATCCAGGCTGAAACTCCTACTGCAGTGCTGAGAGAGTGCAGCACTGTCACAAGTTCAGTACTGAGGGAGTGCTGAACTATCAGAGGATTGAGTGCATTGAGTGTAAGAACAAAAACAGAAGTTGCTGGAAAAGCTCAGCAGGTCTGGCAGCATCTGTGAAGGAAAAAACAGAGCTAATGTTTCGGGTCCAGTTCTGAGGAAGGGTCACTGGACCCGAAACGTTAACTCTGTTTTTTCCTTCACAGATGCTGCCAGACCTGCTGAGCTTTTCCAGCAACTTCTGTTTTTGTTACTGATTTACAGCATCCACAGTTCTTTCGGTTTTCATTGAGTGTAAGAGTTGGGACGTCATGTTGCGGCTGTATAGGACATTGGTTGGATAGGCCACGTTTGGAACATTGCATGTAATTCTGGTCTCCCTGCTATAGGAAGGATGTTGTGAAACTTCAAGGGTTCAGAAAAGATTTATAAGGATGTTTCCAGGGTTGGAGGGTTTGAGCTATAGGGAGAGGCTGAATAGGCAGAGGCTATTTTTCGTGGAGCATCAGAGGCTGAGGGGTGACCTTATAAAGGTTTATAAAATCGTGAGGGGCATGGACAGGGTGAATAGCTAAGGTCTTTGGGGAGTCCAAAACTAGAAGGCATAGGTTTAAGGTGAGAGGGGAAAGAGTTAGAAGGGACTTAAGGGGCAACTTTTTCAAGCAGAGGATAGTGCATGTATGGAATGAGCTGCTAGAAGAAGTGGTGGAGGCTGGTACAATTATAACAGTTAAAAGGCATCTGGATGGGTATGTGAATAGGAAGGTTTTAGAGGGATATGGGCCAAATGCTGGCAAATGGGACTAGATTTATCTAGGATATCTGGTTGGCAGGGACAAGTTGGACTGAAAGGCGTTTCCGCGCTGTACATCTCTATGACTCTATGATTCTATGTCAACTCCTTTTTTTCAGGTGACCTCTCAGAAATGGGAATCAAGTGTTTTTATGATAACAAACGACTGGCAGCCTCAGTAGATGTGATGTTTCTCTGCTGTCTACCATCTCACCTGTTGGCTGTTGCTTCTCAAATTCACGGTTGCATTGCTGAATCCTGCGTCGTATATAGTGTTGTAACTGCAGTGCCTGTGGCAAGGTCAGTCCCCCACTTACATCGGAATGGGAATCTTATAATACAGGCCAGCATTTATTGCCCAGCCCTAATTGCCCTTCAATGAGGGAGGGTAATCACCTTCTCGAATAATTGCAATGAATGTGGTTATAGGTACAGCCATTGTGCTGTTATGGAGCAAGTTCCAGAACTTCGACAAGCAACAGTGTAAAAATGGTTCACCTGCACATCTACTAATGTGTTATACTGTATCCACTGTTCCCGTTGTGGCCTCCTCTACATCGGGGAAACCAAGCGGCGGCTTGGGGACAGCTTTGCAGAACACCTACGCTTGGTTCGCCCTAAACAACTGCGCCTCCCAGTCGCAAACCATTTCAACTCCCCATCCCATTTCCTCAGACGACATGTCCATCCTGGGCCTCCTGCAGTGCCACAACGATGCCACCCAAAGGTTGCAGGAACAGCACCTCATATTCCGCTTGGAAACCCTGCAGCCCAATGGTATCAATGTGGACTTCACAAGCTTCAAAATCTCCCCTCCCCCTACTGTATTCCCAAAACCAGCCCAGCTTGTCCCCGCCTCCCTAACCTGTCCTTCCTCCCACCTATCCCCTCCTCCCACCTCAAGCCCCACCCCCATCTCCTACCTACTAACCTCATCCCGCACCCTTGACCTGTCCGTCCTCCCTGGACTGACCTATCTCCTCCCTAACTCCCCACCTACACTCACCTTTATTGGCTCCATCCCCGCCTCTTTGACCTGTCCGTTTCCTCTCCACCCATCTTCTCCTCTACCCATCTTCTATCCACCTCCCCCTCCCCATTTATTTCAGAACCCCCTTCCTCTCCCTCATTTCTGAAGAAGGGTCTAGGCCCGAAACGTCAGCCTTCCTGCTCCTCTGATGCAGCTTGGCCTGCTGTGTTCATCCAGCTCTACACCTTGTTATCTCAGTGTAAAAATGGTCAGTACATTTTCAAATTTGGATGACATATGGTTTGGAAGGCACCTGGAACTAATTATTATCTCCAGTGAGGCTTGATTTCAGGCTATTCTTTCCTGAATCTGGGTGCTTTGAAGATGCTGCAAAGCTATCTGGAGGGATTCCATTTGGGCAGCATGGTGGCTCAGTGGTTAACACTGCTGCCTCAGCGCTAGGAGGCTTGGGTTCAATTCCCCCTTGGGCAACTGTCTGTGTGGAGTTTGCACTTTCTCCCCGTGTCTGCGTGGTTTACCTCCAGTTTCCTCCCACAGTCCAAAGATGTTCAGGCTAGGTGGATTGACCATCCTAAATTGCCCATAGTGTACAGGTATGTATAGGTTAGGTGGGTTTGGGGAATGGGTCTGGGTGGGATGCGCTGATGTTTGGTGTTGACTTGTTTGGCCAAAGGGCCTGTTTCCACACTGTAGGGATTCTATGGATAGAATATCTTTTATTTTCCTTTTGCATCATCCTGGCCATTGCCTAGCAACACTTCATAGACTAACATTGGTATTTCAGTGATAGCAAGCTGTGTGGTAATGAGCAAATACACTATTACAAAATATCTATCAAAAAACCTGTGGCCAAAGCATTTCACAATTCATTGTGTGACCACAGCATGAATAGGACTGAAATAGGACAATGCAGCCAAAATGATGGGCAAAAGTTTGAGGAAAGAGGCCCAGGGTACAGGGTCAGCTTGACATAACAGCTATACAAAAATAGAGGGAGGATGAACCTCCCTGAGGCCATGGTTGAAGAGGCAATCGGAGGAGTGCTGGAGGAAGTGAGAGCAGATTTTGTTCAGCAAACCATGGAGAGATTGGGAAAAGAGATTGGAAGTCCATGTTTAGGAAGTGGGAGAGTGGGTACGGAACCATTGGAGGTCTGTTTGGTGAAGGAAAGATAAGTGGAAGAGGATGTGGGAGCAAAACTCTGGGTGAACTGTAAGTCATAGACCATGGGGACTGAGAGGGCAGTGACGATGAAATGAGGGTAACCAAACCCAAAGTCACACTTCATTAATGAGAGATGCAACTGAGCTTAGATATCTGATCATTATCTGATGTGAGATCTTCCTATTCTGTCTGGTTCAGTTTTCCAATGAAACATTGAAACTTTCAGCTCAGCTGGAGGCTATTTGGCCCATCATGCCTGTGCTGACTTTGAAGGATGTACCCAGTTCTTACTAGTCCCTTGCTTTTACCCAAAGCCCTGCAATTCTTGTCATTTTTAAATATTTATCCAAATTCCTTTTGGAAGTTATTAATGGTGTGAATTTCTGTGCTTTCAGGAAGTTCACTCCAGTTCATAAAAACTAATTAAAACAGAAAAAATTAATATTAAAAAAACACTTCTCATCTCATCTCATCTCTGGAGGAAGGGAAGGGTGACTGGATCTGAAATGTCAACTCTGATTTTTCTTCACAGATGCTGCCAGATCTGCTGAGCTTTTCCAATAACCTCCGTTTTTGTTTCTGATTTACAGCATCTGCAGCTCTTTCAGTTTTCATCTCATCTCCTGTCTTTGCCAGTGATCTAAAATCTGTAATCCACTAGTCCTGCTGCCACTGGAAACAGTTACTTCTCAGTTACCCTGTTAAAGCCCTTGATCTTGAACTTATTAGGTAACCCTGCATATAAACTGAGGAAGGGTCACTGGACCCGAAACGTTAACTCTGTTTTTTCCTTCACAGATGCTGCCAGACCTGCTGGGCTTTACCAGCAACTTTGGTTTTGTTCCTGATTTACAGCATCTGCAGTTCTTTCGGTTTTTATTCTGCATATAAACTGACGTTTTCCCAACCACCATTAGTTCTGAGGAAGGGTCACTGGACCCAAAACATTAACTCTGTTTTTTCCTTCACAGATGCTGCCAGACCTGCTGAGCTTTTCCAGCAACTTTGTTTTTGTTCCTGATTTACAGCATCCACAGTTCTTTTGGTTTTTATCTAATAACTGTTTTATTTATGTGGCTTTTGGTACTTACTTAAATATTGATGTTACTGTTGCTGTGTTTTTCCCTCAGGCTCAAGAACCTCCTGGCACACAGCAGCATTGTGAGGCCACATTATTTCTTCCACAGAAAAAGTGCGTGGCCTAAACTGTGGCAGAGTGGCAGAACTCCTGTTGAAGCCCTAAAGATTCAAAAAGTTATTGAGGTGACATCGCCATTTAAAAAGGCTTGTAAGTAAAGTAGAAAGTATGATAGTTTTCCTCAATGTGTATGCTGAACTGTGGTGAAAAGGCTGTAGTCCCCAAATCTGAGAATTGATCTGCATTTCCCCTATTTATGATGTACCCCAAGGACTTTGCTGGTAGAGAACTGCAGATCAGGAACAGCCAAGTGTGGGGGTTGGGGGGAAGAAATCAAAGTGTCACTTTGTTTTGGCTCAAGAATACCAAATGCATTTTACATATAATGATAACAGTTTGCATTTATTTAACACTCTTAAGGTAGTGGGTGAGACATAAGTTGACATTGAATCAGAGAAGGAGGTATCGGACCAGATGGTCAAATGTTTGGTCAACTAACTTTTAAGAAGTGATTTTAAGGAGATGAGAGAAGTGGAGATGTTTGATGGGAATTTCCAAAGATTGGGGCCAAGCAAGTGAAGGCAAAGCCACCACTGCATACTGTGATTAAAATTAGGGATGCAGAATAGACCCAGAGGAGGAACACACATTTCAGTGGTTTGTAGCAATTAGGAGAGGTTACAGATATTACTGCTCCTGATGCAAAATTCAGATCCCAGACTTTACAGGCCAATGGCATGGGGAGTATGATGTCATTGTGCATTTTGACAATGTCATTAAGCACTGATGTGGCCTGTGTTTGTGAGTACACCAGACATTGAGACTTGTACTGATTAGTAGCCAAACTGGCTAAAACCAGTTCTGAGGAAGGGTCACCGGACCCGAAACGTTAACTGTGTTTTCTCCTCCACAGATGCTGCCAGACCTGCTGAGCTTTCCCAGCAACTTTGTTTTGTGGCTAAAACCAGACTATTGTTAGAAAGTAGCCAAAATTCAGTAACAAAATGTGTATTTTTAAAATTCATTCAAAGTAAGCATACTGGCCACACCAGCATTTATTGCCCATCTCTAATTTCCCAGAAGGCAGTTATGAGTCAGCCACATTGCTGTGGAACTGGAGCCATATTAGGGCAGACCAGGTTATTATTCATTCATTGGCATCGCTGGCTGGTCATTCTAGTTATTGCTAATCCCTAGTTGTCCTTGAAAAGGTGGTGGTGAGGTGCCTTCTTGAACTGCTGAAATCCACATGTTGTAGGTTGACCCACAACGCCCTGAGGGAGGGACTGCCAGGATCTTGACCCAGCGACAGTAAAGGAACGGCAATATATTTCCAAGTCAGAATGGTGAGTGACTTGGCGGGGAACTTGCAGATGGCGCTGGCAGGGTAGGTAGTGTCCGGGCTCAAAGAAGTCCGTCAACTCCAGGCTGGCGACATTATTTTCTCTATTACTTTTCACCATTTTTCTTTTTCTTTTTCTTTTCTTTTTTATCTTCGAAGCTGGAGCGGTGACAGCATGGCGGTGGCTACAACCACAGCAGAGTGGATTGGGACTCCAAGTGAAAGCAGCAGTGACAGTGCCCAGAGCCTGGACTCCTTGCGGCTGCGCTGGTGCCCAGAGCCTGGACTCGTTGTGGCAGCACTAGTGCCTAGAGCCTGGACTCCTTGCGGCTATGCCGGTGTCCAGAGCCTGGACTCCTTGTGGCGGCGCTGGTGTCCAGAGCCTGGACTCCTTGTGGCGGCGCTGGTGTCCAGAGCCTGGATTCTTAGCAGTAGTGCTGGTGCCCAGAGCCTGGACTCCAAGTGGCAGTGGCATTGTCCAGTGTCTGGAGTCCTGGCAGCGGTGGTGGTAGGTCTGGAGCCTGGTGAGATAACTCCACAGAGGCTGGTATCCCATTACCAAGTCATCCTTTATTTACACATAAAGAGGCCTCAGCTCTCAAAGTGAACAGAATGTCCGACACTCCTGTTTCTATCTGTCAGCCAGGGTTCCCTGATTGGACCAGATTAATAGCCCCAATCAGGGAACTCATATTCTATGTGGTTCATTTGCTGACCTCATTACAATCACTATATCCCTCCCTCTCTGATCCAAGGGCATAGGCCGATTCTGTTTTTTGTAGCTCTTCCTGGGGTATTTTAACACTGGGTCAGGTTCCTCCAACTCTGCCTCTGATATACTCAGCATGTTACACGCAGTAGCTTGCCTCTTGTGCCAGGAGCATCTCAGAACAAATTCATTCTCTTCTTCGGGCGGCAACGGCAGCAACATCCGCTGTGTCCATCTCAGATTCCAAGATATCTTTAACTCTTGAGAGGGAGAGGGAGAAGCCCAGGTTCTCGAGCAGTCAGAAAGGCTGTCGAGGAGCAGGGCTTGTTTTGTTACCATACTGTTTGCGAGTTTGCAGTCTTCCTATAGTCTACCTTCAAGACCGTTGCACCTATCCAAACGTTATACATCACTGGACCTGACCTCGAGTCGATCAAGCCTCTTATCCATGCAAAGCCATTCCCGTAGTTCGTACACCAAACTTCATCCGCTGAAGTAAACTGTTTCTCGCTTAGCAGAGTCTTGTGTCCTGCATAAACAACCCGATCATGACCCGGAACAGAATCGGCTCTGACTGCTACTTGACCCACTAGAACTCTGACTGACCCGAGACCGGCAGCAGGCGACCCTGAGAACGTCCAACCGATCTGAGACAGACATCAGCGTGACCCTGTGGAGGCCCGGCCCAATCAGGCCTGACTCACTTACCTGCAAGTAAAGAAGTCTCGCTCCAACACCAACTGGGACTGCCCAAGATCAGAAACTTCACCAAAGCCACCCATCCCCGAGGAGACCAGACCAGCCCAGGCCTGAACTCTAACCTTGCAGTGTCCCACCATCAGGGGAGGCCCAGACTGACCGGAACCAACTCATTTACCTGCAGGAGCAGCAGACTCGCAGCACCGACTCCCCAGACCATCAGGATGCAGGAAACCAACAAGGACACAGGGAAAACGTGCTGGCCTAAAGGTGAGGTTGAAACTACATGGTTTCAAAACTCCCCTCCCCAGCATACTCCGAGCAAATGTCCAAAGTATCAAAAACAAAACGGATGAACTTGGATCTAGACTTACCTACCAGAGAGACCTGAGAGGCTGTTGTGTGTTCTGCTTCATGGAAACTTGACTCATCCCTGCCATGCCCAACTGTGCCCTACAAGCTGACAGGTTCTCCATACACCACATGGAATGCATGGTGTCCTTGGGTTAGGCGAAGGGCGGAGGGGTATGCTTCCTGATCAATACTTCCTGGTGCTTGGATGTAGCGATCCTGGCAAGCCACTGCTCACCAGACCTAGAATACCTTACAGTAAGATGCCGTCCCTACTCCCTACCACGAGAGTTCACCTCTGCCATCCTGACAGCAGTCTACATACCACCCCATGTGAATGTGAAGAATGGCCTAGATGTGATTTACACCGCCACAAACACTCTAGAGACAAAATTCCCTCAGGCAAGACTCATTGTGGCCGGCAACTTCAATCAAGCCAACCTCAAGTAGGTGATGCCAAAATACCACCAACACATCTCCTGCCCCACCAGGGGACCAAACATTCTGGACTACGGCTGCACAACCATCAAAGACGCCTACTGCTCAATCCCCTGTGTACACTTCGGAAAATCCGACCACAGTGCTGTGTTCCTCCATCCAGCTTACAAGCAGAAGCTGAAACGGGAGAATCCTTCACAAAAGGAAGTACAGTGCTGGTCCGAGGCAGCAGAAGACCATCTCCGGGTCTGCTTGGACTCGGTGGACTGGACCGTGTTCAAGTGTTCAGCGGAAAACCTATACGAGTACGCCATCACCGTCACAGACTTCATTAGCAAATGTTGGGAGGACTGTGTACCAAAGAAGTCAATCTGAGTGTTCCCCAACCGGAAAACTTGAACGAACCAGGAAATCCACTCCCTACTGAAGACCAGACGTGTAGCATTCAAGTCGGGTGACCCAGACCGATACTGGAAATCCAGATATGACCTCCGCAAAGCCATCAGGGAGGCCAAGAAGCAGTGCTGGACCAAGTCAGAGGCCCAGACCTACCAAACAGATTCCTGATGTCTATGGCAAAGCCTGAACGACTTTACGGGATACAAAATGAAACAGCATAAGATAGCGGACAACACATCCCTCCCTGACATGCTCAATGCTTTCTATGCTCAGTTTGAGCAGAATACCACCAGCATGGCAATGCCTGCCCTGACAGCCCGAGACACACCTGTTCCCTCTGTCACTGCTTCAGAAGTCAGATCAGTCTTCCTGAGAGTCAACCGAAGGAAAGTGATGGGCCCAGATGGTGTCCCTGGTCGAGCACACAGATCCTATGCATTCCCCGACATCTTCAACTTCTCCCTCCTACAAGCCGAAGTGCCCACCTACTTCAAGAAGACCACCATCATCCCCGTACTCAAGAAAACACTTAATGACTAACGCCCAATAGCTCTGATTTCAATAATCATGAAGTGCTTTGAGAGGCTGGTCATGGCCCCCATCAAGTCCATGCTGTCAACCTGCCTCGATCCCCTACAGTTTGCCTACCAACATAACAGATCCACGGAGGATGCCATTTCTCTAGCCCTGCACTCATCCCTGGAACGTCTGGATAACAAAGACTCCTATGTCAGACTTCTGCTCGTTGACTACAGCTCTGCCTTCAATACCATTAGCCCTTCAAAACTGCATGACCTTGGTCTTGGCTACGGCCTCTGCAATTGGATTCTCAGCTTTCTGACGCACAGACCACAATCAGTGAGAATAGGTAACTGCACCTCCTCCACAATAGCACTCAACACTGGAGCACCCCCATCTCAAGGATACGTCCTCAGCCCTCTACTGTACTCCCTGTACACCTACAACTGTGTTGCCAAATTCCAAACGATCACTACAAGTCCGGTGACCACACAGTATCCACCTTCTATCTTTGTCTCCCCCTCTCTCTATTTATTTCAGAGCCCCCTTCCCCTCCCCCATTTCTGAAGAAGGGTCCAGACCCGAAAAGTCAGTTTTCCTGCTCCTCTGATGCTGCCTGGTCTGCTTAATTCATCCAGATCTACACCTTGTTATCTCAGACTCCAGCATTGGCAGTTCCTACTATCTCTGACCACTATAATGGGATGGATATCTAACAACAATGAGTCAAAATACAAAAGGGAGACATGGTGCAGTGAAAACAATCTGTCTCTCAAAATCGGCAAAACTTAAGAACTGATCATCGAATTCAAAGGAGGAGAACATGTCCCCATCAACATCAACGGAACTGAGGTTGGGAGAGTGAAGAGCATCAAGTTCCTCGGAGTGACGATAACCGACGACCTCTCCTGGACTTCCCACATGAATGCGACAGTCAAGAAGGCACAACAACACCTCTTCTTCCTCAGGCAGCTCAGGAACTTTGGCATGTCCATAAGATCCCTCACCAACTTCTACAGATGCACCGTAGAAAGCATCTGTCCGGGTGCATAATGGCCTGGTATGGCCACTGTTCTGCCCAGGACCGTAAGAAACTACAGAAGCTGGTGTGCAGAGCCCAGACCATCACAGAAGTCAATCGCTGCCACTGAAAGGCAGTCAACATTATCAAAGACCTATCGCACCCTGGTAATGACCTCCTACAACCTCTTCCATCAGGCAGAAGATACAGAAGCTTGAACACACGCACAAGCAGGTTCAGGAACAGCTTCTTTCCAGTTGTTATCAGGCTGTTGAATGGACTCTAGCCTCAAATAATCTAACCTGCAATGTAACCTGTATGCCTCTAAGTCTTTTTGATCTGTACATCCTTTGCTTGCTGTGATCTGCCTGTACTGCTCGTAAACAAAGCTTTTCACTGTATTTCGGTACATGTGACAACAAAAATCAATCAATCAATTAGTCGTTGCCTTTCTTCTGCCCCAATGTCACTTGCTCAGAGAAAATAATACATTCTTTCCACATACTGGGCACAGTCTTCAATGGCAAGCTTCCCAAATAACAGCATGATCCCAGAAATGCTTACCCCAACTCAAATACAACTGTTGCAAGTGAATTTCTTCAGGATTGTGCTTTTTTCTCATTGCCACAATATCCTATCACCAAGTCGTCCTTTATTTCCATCTGGAAAATACTTGAAACTGATCCAACTCCCTTAAAACAAGGTGTCAGAGTGAACAGGATGTCTGACTCTCCTGTTTCTATTTGTCAGCCAGGGCTCCCTGATTGGACCAGATTAACAAGCCCCAATCAGGGAACTCATATTCTTTGAGGTCCACCTGGCTGGCCTGGTTAGAATCACTACACCTGGACTCCTGGCAGCAGCCGGACTGGAGCCTTGACTCTTGGCAGTAGCGGTGCCTGGAGTGGGAACTCCTGGCAGCAGTAGACCATGAACCTGGCCTCTTGGTGGTGTCAGTGAGGTGGCGGCGGCGGCAGCAGAACCAGGGTCTCTTGGTTGCATGGGGCCTCCTGGAGCATCAGTGTCACCATTGTTGTTCCCAATGCGGGACTCTTTGAGGACCAGAATACCTTCCAGGCACCTTGCAGAAACCCTGAAGCTGTGCTTGAGATCCCAATTTGAACAGAAGATGAACTCTTATTTAAGTAATTTCTTTTTATCCTTATTATAACTCAAAATGTGCCAGAATGTGGCAACAAACACTTCACTGTATCTTCAAGATATATGTGTCAAATCATTCGTTCATTCATTCACTCATTCAGATGGTGGTGTTCCCCATGTATCTGCTGCCCTTGTCCTTCTAGATGGAAGTGGTCATGAGTTTGGAAAGTGCTGTCTGATGATCTTTGGTGAATTTCTGCATCTTGTAGATAGTACACACTGCTGCTACTGAGTATCGGTCATGGAGAGAGCGGATGCTTGTGGATGTGGTGCCAATCAAGAGGGCTGCTTTGTTCTGGAAGGTGTCAAGCTTCTTCAGCATTGCTGAAGGTGCACTCATCCAGGTAAGTGGGGAGTATTCCATTACACTCCTTACCTGTGCCTTGTAGACGGTGGACAGGCTCTGGAGGGAGTCAGGAGATCAGTTTTTTTTGCTATAAGAGGGTTCAAAAGAGAGCTGGATATATATTTGAAAGTGATGAATTTTGAAGTGTCTGGATATAAGGCTGGACAACTCTTTCAAGAGCTGGTACAGACCATGATAGATTAAATGGCCTCTTCTTGTACTGTAAAATTCTCTGATTCATCTGGTCATATTCTCACCTGGTTAAATCAAAGGTGCTTTTGATGAATTGATGTTTTGTCGTTGAATTTGTTGGAACTGGAGGTCACAGCATCACTTGTAGAGTCAAAAAGATTAACTATTGCTGTTATGATTTGGTGTCTTAGGGATAACAGCATCACCCCCGGAAGAGGCAATTGTTACTATTCCCATCATAGCTATGCCCATTCATTCCAGTTGACAGCATTACCCCCCACATTAAAAGAGTTATTCCTTGCTACCTACTCCCATGAGTACTCCCATTAACTCTGCTCAATCCATCTTCTTTAGGAATTCACTAAGTAATGATTGAACACTTGGTATACTGCCTTACCATAAAAACAAGAAATAAGCAGGTTTCAGTTCAGGTTTGTGCTGATCTTAACCTGGGCACTGGTTGAATATTAAAATTGACTCCAGCAGCTCTGGGTTAACAAAAATGCAAATCTGTCAAGGGGGAGTGCTTTTCATTTTTAGCCAGCAATCCAGTTCATGTGAGCATATGGTATGAAACCCATCATACTTAGCTGTTCACAATGTCCATACTAAAATTGATTGTTGACAATCTCTAGGCTGATGCATAGGGAATGGACCCTTGTCAGATACACCTTGATTTATTAGCTATAGGAGAGGAGGCAGGAGAGGCAATGGCCTATTATGGTATTATTGCTGGACTGTTAATCCAGAGATCCAGGTAATGTTACGGGGACCTGGGTTCGAATCCCACCACAGCAGATGGTGGAATTTGAATTGAATAAAAATCCAGAATTAATACTCTAATGGTGCCCATGGATCCATTGTCAGTTGTTGAGGGGGAAATGCTCATCTGCCCTTTAAGGAAGGAAACTGCCATTCTTACCTAGTCTAGCCTACACGTGACTCCAGGCCCACAGCAATGTGGTTGACTCTTAATTGGCTCTAGGCAATTAGGGATGGCCTAGCCAGCAACGCCCTCATCCCATGAATGGGTAAAAAAAATGAAAAATAGATTTTCAGGGAGATGACACCTTAAGAGAATTATCAACTTTAAAAGCCTCACATGTGAAACCTAACAAATTTCTCCTGAATATCTGCATAAATGCTGTCTGTTTCTTTGCTTTGTTTGATTTTTCCAAACTCAGTTGTTGGTTGTACTCTGAATTTGCTCTGATCCTCTCAGCTATTTCGTGTCTGGACCCCAAGTGGTTCGAAGAAGTAATGTATTCTGTCCTGAATGTCCTCCACTTACTGAAAGTGCCCCATCACCTCTCACTGGACATACTCAATGACCTCATGTTCAGCCCTTCACAAGGTGTGGAAGCAATTGACAACCCAACTTTGTTTACTCGTGAAAGCTTCGTTAACGCACCCTGCATTCAGCTACTGTCAAATAACAGGTATGTTGTATCTCATGACTTGATCATTGGAATATCTGTAACTTCATGTGCTTTGAGATATAGGAGCTTGATGAATATGTTTTGGGATGAGCATTTTAGTGGTCTGAACTTATAATCTTGAGATTGGAGTTTAAATCTCACCATATTATTTTGTGAATTTGAACTTAATTATCTGATGTCAATACAGAGGACCATAAAATTATTAAACTGATAATAGTTTATTATTAAACCTTTATTAATTACACCAGTGTGCCACCATGATTTAGTCTAACGCTGTATCATTCCTTTTGCGAACATCTGGGAATTTGTGCCAAAATTGAGAGCAGCCCCAGAGACAACTCAAACAACAGACAGATAATCAGACGCTAAGAATCATACATTTCATCCAGTATCCCAGATTCCTCCATCACCATCTCAACTGCTCACCTCAATTTGGTATCAAGTTCTTCATTCTCACGTCTCTCTGGATGAAGAACTTCCTTCTGAGTTCCCTATTGGACTAGGCCTCTTAAGCCAGTCCTGCCATTCAATAAGATCATCCTGATCTATCCCCAGGCCTCAACTCTTGTTTCTTTCATGCCATCTCCTCGTTGCCCTCAACTCCCCAATGCTCTAGGATCCACACTTCTCTGAGACAGATTGGTGATCACTTTGCAGAACATGTACACTTTTTCCATTAAAAATGACCCTGAGCTTCCAGTTGCCTGCTATTTCAACATACCACCATGCTCCCTGGCTAACATCTCTGCTCCAGGCTGCCACAATGCTCCAGCGAGGCTGAACGCAAGCTGGAAGAACAGCATCTCATCTTCGTCCTAGGTACCTCACAGCTTTCAGAACTCAATCCATAGAATAGAATCCCTATACTGTGGAAACAGGTCCTTTGGCCCAACAGGTCCACACCGACCCTCCGAGCATCCCACCCAGTCCCAACCCCCTATAAACCCTCATAATCTACACATCCCTGAACACTATGGGCAATTTAGCATGGCCAATCCACCTAGCCTGCACATTTTTGGACTGTGGGAGGAAACCAGAGCACCTGGAAGAAACCCACGCAGACATGAGGAGAATGTGCAAACTCCACAGAGACAGTTGGCCGAGAGTGGAATCGAACCCGGGTCCGTGGTGCTGTGAGGCAGCAGTGCTAACCACCGAGCAACTGTGCCAATGAGTTTAACAAATTCAGAATGTGAACACCTTCCTCTATGTTCATTATCCTTCTCCCACACCCATAAGTCCTGTTTTCTATGGGTTGCTCCCGGCAAGCCAACCTATTTTCAACTATTTACACTTGTCATTGGCACCCTACCCAGCAGCCATTTCTGTATCAGTTTTATCATCAGCAATTCCTTTGTCGTCCTCTCTCTTTGTCTCTCTCTCTGTCTGTCTGGACATCGTTTCCATGTACTCAAATCACTTCCCCCTTCTCCACACCATCATCAGTATAAGCACCACTCTTTTCCAGCTACTTTCAGTTCTGATGAAGGTCACTGGATTCAAAATGTTAACACTATTTTTCTCTCTACTTATGCTGCCAGATTTTCTGAGTTTCTCCAGCACTGTCTGTCTCTCAGCCTCTACCCGATCAAACTCATTCAGAACCGGCACAGTAGCTAGCACTGCTGCCTCACGGCACCAGAGACACAGGTTTCTTGGGTTACTGTCTGTGTGGAATTTGCACATCCTCCCAGTGTCTGCGTGGGTTTCCTCTGGGTGCTCCAGTTTCCTCCCACAGTCCAAAGATGTGCAGGTTAGATGGACTGGCCATTCTAAATTGCCCATAGTGTCCAGGGATGCACAGGCTATGTAGATTAGCCATGGGAAATGCAGGGTTACAGGGATGGGTGTGGGTCTGGTCGGGATGCTCTTTGGAGAGTTGGTGTGGACTTGATGGTTGAATGGCCCGTTTCCACACAGTAGGGATTCCATGATTCTATGAATGTTTCATGGAGATCACCTGTCTTCATCTAAACTCCAGTGGGTGTAGACCTAATTTACTCAATCTGTCATAATAGGACAAGCCCCTCATCCCAGGGTTGAATATAGTGAACCTCCATTGTACCACCTTTCTTACTGCTTTTCTTAAATGTGGAGATCAAAACTGCATACAGCACTCCAGATGTGGTTTCACCAAAATCCTGTATAATCTTAGCAAGACTTCTTTAATTCTGTACTGCAATCCCTTTGCAATAAAGGCTAACATGCCATTTGCCTTTTAGATTGCTTGCTATAACTGTTAACGTCCTGTTAATATTGTATGGGAAAACTCAAGTTGCTTTGAAACTTCAATGCATGCAAGTTTCATATCTTTTAAAAATATTCCACTGTCCTGTTCTTATGACAAAGTAGATATCTCCACACTTCCCTACTTTATACTCCATTGGCTATCTTATTACCCACTCACTTATCTCGTCTATATCTCTTTGCAGCCTCTTTTTGTCCTCCCCATATTTATCTTCCCCCCAACTTTGTGTCATCAGCAAATTTAGATATATCACTTTCTGGCTTTTTGACTATTCATTGATGTAGATTGCAAATACCTGAGGCCCCAACACTGGACCTTGCAGCATTCCACCATTCACTGACTGCCAACTTGTAAATACCCCATTTATGTCCACTCTCTGCTTCCAGTCATGCTGATGTATTACCCCTGTGATAACCCTTTTAAGGCCCATTTAAGGATAATTAATCTCCCTGTGGAGCTTGTTGAGAATGAGTTCCCTTGGTAACAGGCAATGGCTTGCCTAGCTGGAACTCATTAACTAAGCCCTTTATTAAGCAGCTCCTGAAGGGTCACTTTCTGGTGCAGCGGTAGTATCCCTACCCCTGAACCAAGAGACCTGGGTTCATGTCCCACCTGTTCCAGAGGATAAATTACATCTCTGAACAGATTGAATAGAAAAATAGGTTAAATAATAAAAAAAAAAGCAGACCTTGCCTGCAGTTGTGTTTGTGCCCAGATACCCTTGGAGAGGGAGCATGTGAGTGGTTAAGCAGCTTAAAATAAAGTCACAGAGATTTTTGGTGGTGGAAAGATCACTCATATGAGTGTGATAACACTTCTGGGTTTAAAAAAAAATAAAGCAGACCCTGGTTCTTGTGGCACAGTGGAGAAAAAAAAAGGGAAAAAACAAACAGACCCAAATGGTTTGCATTGCCTGTAATGAGCTTTGCATGTAAATTTCTAATTGGCAACTTGGATGATTTACTGGTGGCAGTTAATAGTTAAAAACCAAAAAAAAAGTCAGGGTTTTTAGTGATAGTAAAGTTGTTCAGTTGTGTGTAAAAGCACTTTGGATATGAAAAATATTTAAAAAGTATACCTCAGGATGGATCTGCAAAATTGTCTCACCCAGGCTGGGTTCTATATTGGTGTTCACCAACAAACTATGTTCCTTTCCAGTTGAACTTCCTGCGTTATTATAAACCCCATCTCCATGGATCCTTATTTTGCCCATTAGCTTTTCATGGAACCCCTAATGGAATGCTTTTTGTGTTGTTTGTGAAACTTCCAGACCAAGTTGTGTTTGATTAGACCTCTGCACGTTATGAAAAGACTGAGAAAGTCTAAACTTTCGATTGTGAGAGTGTCAAGAGAAAATCCAAGTTCATGGGATTAGTACTGAAAAGAAGCAGCTAAGACAAACTTACAATTTGGTTAGGGAAGGATTTTTTTCTGAATTTTGATTAACTATAAAGTGATCTGATCTGGGATCTGATTTGTCCAGTAGTAACTTCAGTTGGGATCATAGCAACACTCTAATGGCTCATATCCTCCCCTCACTACACCATGCCTAACATTGTTTTTAAGTTCATGCATGCAATGTGGGCATTTCTGGCAAGGCCAATATTTATTGCCCATCCTTGAGTGCCCTTGTACTCAGTAGCGTGCTCGGCCATTTCAGAGTGCAGTTACAAGTCAGCCACGTTGCTATGGGTCTGGAAACACATGTAGGCCAGACTAGGTAAGGATGGCAGATTTCCTTCCCTAAAGGATATTACTGAGCCAGATGTGTTTTTACAACACTTGACAGTGGTTTAACAGATGCCATTGTTCAAGCTTCTAATTCATGATTTTATTGAATTCAAATTCCACCATTTCCCATGGTTGGTTTGGAACCCATATTCCCAGAGCATTTGATTATTTGTCCAGTGGAGGTTCACAAGGCTGATATCAGGGAATAGCAGGACTGTCCTATGAGGAGAGGTTGGCTTGACTGGGCCCGTACTCGCTACAGTTTAGAAGGATGAGAGTGGATCTGATTGAAACACATAAAATTCTAACAAGGTCAGACTGACTTGATGTAGGCAGTATGTTTTCCCTGACTGGGGAGTCCCAAACTGGGGCAACAGTCTCAGAATATGGAATGTACCATTCAGGACTGAGATGAGGAAAATCTGTCTTTACCAAAAGAGTAATAAACCTCTGAAATTCTCTACCACAGAAGGCTGTGTAGGCTATGTCAATTAATATGTTCAAAAAGGTGACTTTTTTTTTACTTTTAAAGGCATCAATGGGTATGGGAGAAAGTGGGAATATACCATTGAGCTAGAGGATCAACCTTAATCATATTGAATGGTGAAGCAGACTTGAAGGTCTGAATAGCCTATTCTTGCACCTAGTTGCTATGTTTCTATGAGTGGTGGGAAATCACAGTCTGGATGTCTTGTTCCTAGTAGCTCTTTTTGGTAATTTCTAATTTGGAGCCGAGCTCACCTATGATATGGTCAGATAGTCACCAAGCACCTTCTGCAAGAGAGGATGCAGAAAGCAAAGAGGATCTTGGATCTGAGAAGGGTTTACTTATTTCCTATCGATGTTTCCAAAGGATTCTGCTAAAGTCATGTGTTTTTCTCTTTAAATGTCTCTTCTCAGCCCATTCCCCTGGTTTGACCTGGCATCTGTGTCCATCAGAGACACCCCCCTCACAAAGTTCTTCTTGATACATCCACGCCTGCAGCAACACCTCAGCTTCATATACCGGATGTCTTTGCTAAGGAAGAAACAACTGTCTGAATATAGTGATTGCTGTGGACGCTGAACCTGTCTGAGGAGAGGTGGGCGGCAGCTAAGTGATTGAACTACAAGTGCCACACAGTTATATGTTCACACCATCGAGAGGAATTTATAGATCAGAAAGACAATTCCAGAAGGCAACTAAATGACCAGTCCTAAAGCACAAAAGTCTCATTCGATACATCTGGACACATCACTCACTTTGCTGTCTAGTAATCTGTCCAGCTCCCACTTGTTGCCAGGGATCTCCTTTCCCTGATCAGTTTCCTGTCTTTTACAACCTGTCACTGCAGAGTCTTTGGCCACTCATTGAAATTGGGGACTCTTTTGTGAAAGGTGAAAGATCAGTGATTGGGTTTAAGTTCAAATTTCCCCTTCGACTTTGGATATTTACTGGGGGCTCACTTTATGCTCCGCTAGCAAAAGTGTGTGCGCCTGGGTCAATTGTTGATAATTGGCTCATGAACTCAGGATAAAAGTGGAAAGAATTACTTTTGGAATTTTATTTCAAGCTGATCTCTGTCCATTCTCCATTCCCCGCCGCTGTCCCATTGCACTGTTTGCTTCAGCCATATCCCAGAAGAGAGTAAAGGCCTGGGGAACAGTGGAGCAGGGACTGACTGCTGTGGAGAAAGGGGACAATTAACAGCTTTCTCTTCAGTCAATGATGTCTTTGTGAAGTGACACCAAATTAGACAAATGCATATCAGATGTTCCAGCCTCTTTATTTTAATAAGTTCAACAAGGACAGTATTTCCATGCATTTCTTTCTGTTGTTCCACTCTAAGTCACAATTAAAGAAAACATTTTTTTTATGTCTAGGCCTTTCCAGTTGATGTCAGTTTCAACTTTCGACCATAAACATCAATCAGTGCCTGAATAGGAAGAATTATATTTTTGTCCAGCTTATTTTGTCACATCAGCCACCAACACAGAAGTAATTTAAAACTATTGGAGTATTTTGAAATTGTAGTCACTGTGGTAGGAAACTTACCGAAACAGCAGTGCAAATAATAACCAACATATGATCCCTCTCTAACCCTAATCCTCAGAATTCTAAATTTCACTGGACTCTGGAGCAGTTCCAGCAGGTTGGAAAACAGCAAGTGTGATGCCACTGTTTAAAAAAGGAGGTAGACAAAAAATGAGGAATTATAAGCCAGTTAGCTTAACTTCTATAGTGGGAAAAATGCTTGAATCTACTATCAATGAAAAAATAGCAAGACATCGAGATATAAATTGTCCCATTGGGCAGACACAGCATGGGTTCATGAAGGCAAGAATTTAACTAATTTACTGGAATTCAATGAAGACATTATGAGTGCGATGTGCACAATGGGGACCCAGTAGATGTGGTGTATCTAGATTTCCAAAAGGCATTTGACAAGGTGCCTCACAAAAGGCTGCTGCATAAGATAAAGGTGCATGGGGTTACAAGCAATGTATTGGCATGGAGAGAGGATTGGTTAACTAACAGGAAGCAAAGAGTGGGGATAAATGAGTACTTTTCTGGTTGGTGATCAGTGACTAGTGGTGTGCCTCAGGTATCAGTGTTGGGACCACAATTGTTTACAATTTATATAGATGATTTGGGAGTTGGGGACCACATGTAGTGTCTCAAAGCTTGCTGATGACACTAAGATGAGTGGTAGAGCAAAGTGTGCAGGGGACTCTGAAAGTTTGCAGAGGGATATAGATAGTTAAAGTGAGTAGGCAAAAGCCTGGCAGATGGAACTCAATATTGATAAATGTAAAGTCATCCATTTTTGGTAGGAATAAAAGTAAAAGGGACTATTACTTGAATGGTAAAAAAAATTGCAGCATGCTGCTGTGCAGAGGGACCTGGGTGTCCTTGTGCATGAATCACAGAAGGTTGGTTTGCAGGTTCAAAAGGTAATTAAGAAGGCAAATGGAATATTGTCCTTCATTGCTAGAAGGATTGAGTTTAAAAGGAGGGAGGTTATGTTGCAGTTGTGTAAGGTGCTGGTGAGGCCACACCTGGAGTACTGCATGCACTTTTAGACTCCTTACTTGAGAAAGGATGTACTGGCACTAGTACAGAGCAGATTCACTAGGTTGATTTCAGAGTTGAAAGGGTTGGTTTATGAGGAGAGACTGAGTAGATTGGGATTATATTCATTGGAATTTAGAAGAATGAGGGGGTATCTTATAGAAACATATAAAATTATGAAGGGGATAAGATAGAAGCAGGGAGGATCAGGGGGAACAAATTTAGGACTGAATTGAGGTGAAACTTCTTCATCCAAATGGTTTTGAATCTGTGGAACTCCCTGCTCAGTGAAGTAGTTGAGGCTTCCTCATGGAATGTTTTTAAAGCTAAGATAATTTTTTGAACAGTAAAGGATTTAAGAGTTATGGTGAGAGAGTGAGTAAGTGGAGCTGAGGCCACGAAAAGATCAGCCATGATCTTATTACATAGCTTGCTCCTGGTTCTTTTGTTTTAATTCTGGCCATGACAGGTGGAGAACTCCCCTACTTTTTCAAATAGTTTCAAGGGAAACTAGCTTTTTTAAAACTTATTCTTTCATGGGATATGTGTGTCACAGCCTCGGTTGACATTTGTTGCCCTTCCCTAATTGCCTTTGAACTGACAGCCTTGCTATCTATTTCAGAGGGCAATTAAGATTCAACTAGTGCTTTGGGTCTGATGTCACATGTATGACTCAAATTTCTGGAATGTGGCTCGATCCCTTAGCCTTTAGGCACAGAGGCAAGGGTGGCACCCACTAAGGTGATGGAATTTGGTCTTGGGTGTTTTGGGAGTTTTGTAGGGGCTGGTTTGCACATGCTGGGGTGGGCGCAGGGTTGAGAAGCCTGGCTGACTTGCAGAGTGTCCCCCTCTGCTGTCCCTGATCTTCAACCAGTCTAAAAATTGCAGCAGGGCACGAAGTGACCATTAATTCGGTCTCTATATAGGTCAAGTCAGGTCAGGGCTGAAGCCAAGTCCCCTAGCATAGGATGGTAAAATTCTACTCAAGGATAGAGAATGCACGAGACCTCCACTAAGCTAAAGTTTCAATCTTTACATCTTTAGTGCCTTCACTTCCTCATTAACTAGTCATATCTCAATTAGAGTGGGGGCAGGGGTGGTATTCCAGATCTTGGGGCTAGGCAACCAAAGGTACAACCTACAAGTGCAGCAAAGGTAACTGGGAATGTCTAAACAGTCAAACTAAAGGCAGAGAATGGGTTTTGGAGCTGGAAGTGCTTAGAGAAATAAGGAGGGATATAAAGCCATGGAGGGGTTTGAAAATGAGGATGAGAATTTTAAAATTGAGAAGTTGCTAATGTGGGTTAATGTGCACTGGGAAGATGGGTGAACAGAACTTGGTGCAAGTGAGGATACAGCCACCAAGGTCTGGATTGCCTCAAGTTTATGGAGAGTAGAAGATATGCCCAGTGAGGGAAGCATTACAGCTGCGAAGTCTAGAGGCAACAAATGTATGGATGAAGGTTTCAGAGTAGTTCAGGCAGAATCTATTATTCACAGGATGTTGACATCTCTAGCTAGTCAGCACTTAAAAGTCAACCACATTGTGGGTCTAGAGTCACATGTAGGCCTAACCAGGTAAATATAGAAACAGAAGATAGTAGCAGGAGGAGGCCATTCGGCCGTTCAAGCCTGTTCCACCATCCATCACAATCATGGCTGATTGTCCAACTCAATAGCCTAATCCTGCTTTCTCCCCACAACCTTTGATCCAATTTGCCCGAGGTGTGCTATATCTAGTCACCTTTTGAATATATTCAGTGTTTTGGCATCAACTACTTCCTGTGGTAATGAATTCCACAGGCTCACCACTCTTTGGGTGAAGAAATGTCTCCTCATCTCCGTCCTAAATGGTCTACCCCAAATCCTCAGACCGTGACCCCTGGGTCTGGACACACCCACCATCGGGAACATCCTCACTGCATCTACCTTGTCCAGTCCTGTTAGAATTTTATAAGTCTCTATGAGATTCCCCCTCATTTGTCTGAACTCCAGCGAAAACAATCCCAACCTTGTCAATCTCTCCTCATATATCAGACCCACCATCCCCGGAATCAGCCTGGTAAACCTTTGCTGCACTCCCTTGAGAGCAAGAGCATCCTTCCTCAGAAAAGGAGACCAAAACTGCACACAATATTCTAGGTCTCAAAGCCCTATATAACTGCAACAACACATCCCTGCTCTTGTACTCGAAACCTCACGCAATGAAGGCCAACATACCATTTGCCTTCTTTACTGCCTGCTGCACCTGCATGCTTACCTTCAGCAACTGATGCACAAGGACACCCAGGTTCTGCTGCACACTCCCCCTCTCCCAATTTACAGCCATTCAGGTAATCTGCCTTCTTGTTTTTGCTTCCAAAGTGAATAATCTCACATTTATCCAAATTATTCTGCATCTGCCATTGATTTGCCCACTCACCCACACTGTCGAGATCATGCTGAAGGATCTCTGCATCTTTAATAAAAACCAAAAAAGAACTGAGGATACTGTAAATCAGGAACAAGTACAGAAGTTGCTGGAAAAGCTCAGCAGGTCTGGCAGCATCTGTGAAGAAAAAATCAGAGTTAACATTTCGGGTCTGGTGACCCTTCTGAGCAAGTTATGAGGAAGCGTCACCGGACCCAAAACGTTAACTGTGATTTTATTTTCTTCACAGATGCTGCCAGACATGCTGAGCTTTTCCAGCAACTTCTGTTTTTGATCTCTGCATCCTTGTCACAGTTCACCCTCCCAACTTGGTATCATCTGCAAGCTTTGAGATGTTACATTTTGTTCCCTAATCCAAATCATTAATATATATTGTGAACAGCTGGGGTCTCAGCACCAATCCCTGTGACACCCCACTAGTTACTGCCTGCCAATTTGAAAAGGATCCATTAATTCCTACTCTTTGTTTCCTCACTGCCAATCAGTTTTCTCTCCATCTCAATGAACTTCCCCCCATCCCATGCACTTTAATCTTGTACAATAATCTCTTACGTGGAACTTTGTCAAACGCTTTCCGAAAGTCTAAATATACCACATCGACCGGCTCCCCTTGTCAACTCTACTAGTTTCATCTTCATTGAATTCCAACAGATTTGTCAAGCATGATTTCCCCTTCATAAATCCATGCTGACTCTCTAAACCTGCCATTGCTTTCTAAAAGCTGTGCTATAAAGTCCTTGATAATGGATTTGAGAATTTTCTCCACTACCGATGTTAGACTTACTGGTCTATAATTCGGTTTTCTCTCTACCTTCATTTTTGAAAATTGGAGTGACATTAACTACCATCCAATCTGCAGGATCTGTTCCAGAGTCTATAGAATCCTGGAAGATGACCACCGCCAATGCATCCACTATTTCTAGAGCTACTTCTGTAACTCTTCTGGGATGTAGTTTATCAGGCTGTGGGGATTTATCTGTTTTCAATCCCATCAATTTTTCCCAGCACCATTTCTCTACTAATATTGATCTCCCTCAATTCTTCCCTCTCCCTAAATCTTGCACTTTTCGACACTTCTGGTATCTGATTTGTGTCCTCTTTTCTGATGACAGAACCAAAGTACGTATTCAGTTGCTCAGCCATTTCTTGTCCCCTATTATACATGCCCCCATTTCAGTCTGTAGGACACCTACATTTGTCTTTGCCAATCTCCTTCTCTTCACGTACCTATAGAAACTGTTAATATCAGTCTTTATGTTCCTTGCAAGCTTTCTTTTGTACTGTATTTTCCCCTTCTTAATCAATCCCTTGGTCCCTCTTTGTTGAATTCTAAACTGCTCCTAATCCTCAGACACGTTATGTTTCTTGGCCGATCTGTATGCTTTTTCCATGGATCGGATACTATCTCTAATTTCCTTTGTAAGCCATGGATTGGCCCTCTTACCCATTTTGCTTTTTTGCCAGACAGGAATAAAACCGAATTAAAAACCGAAAGAACTGTGGATGCTGTCAATCAGGAGCAAAAACAAAGTTGCTGGAAAAGCTCAGCAGGTCTGGCAACATCTGTGAAGGAAAAAGCAAGAGTTAACATTTCAGGTCCGGGGACCCTTCCTCATAACTTGCTGAGAAGGGTCACCGGACCCGAAACGTTAACTCTGTTTTTTCTTCACAGACGCTGTCGCCAGACCTGCTGGGCTTTTCCAGCAACTTTGTTTTTGTCCAGGAATAAACAGTTGTTGCAGTTCCCCCATGAGTTCTTTGAATGTTTGCCATTGCCTATCCACTGTCATCCCTTTCGGTAACTCTCCCCAAACTATCAAGACCAACTCGCTTGTTATATCTTCATCGTTTCCTTTATTCAGATTCAGCACCCTGGTCTCCGAATCAACTACCTCATTCTCCATCTTGATTAACAATTCTGACACGTTATGGTCGCTCATCTCCAAGGGGCCTCGCATTGCTAGTTTGGCAATGATTCCCTTCTCATTACACAGTACCCAGTCCTTCCCTAAAGGACATCAGTGACATATACAACAATCAACAGTGGTTACACGATCGCCATTTGGATAGCTTTTTATTCCAGATTGGTTAATAAAATTGAATTTAAATTTTACAATCCGCTATGATCGGATTCAAACCCACGTCCCAAAACATTAGCCCAGGGTTCAGGATTCCAAGTCCAGTGACATTATCATTATGCCACTTCCTCCCCACATCTGCCAATGTTAATGAGGTAAAAATATAGATAGTCTTCGCAATTCGGTTGCCATGTAGTCAGAAAAGTATTCCAGGATAGGGCAGCAAACAATCCGGTTCAGCCTCAAACAATGCCCAGAGACAGGGAAGAAATCATGTTTAGGGAATCCATTTTCTGGCAAGGATCAAAGACAATGGCTTTGCTGTTCCCATTTTGGTGGAAATTTCTGATCATGCAGGACTGGCTGGACATTCTGATAAATCAGAGACCATGGAAGGCTTGGGAGGGATGTGTAACGGTGGTGGAACCTGATATTTTGAAATGTAATGTCTCCTTGTCTGCATCTCCCTGAATTTGGGTGAGCATAATTGCACTTGATGCTACAAATCTCACATCATCTTCATCTAACCATCATCAGTAAGGATTGTAACATTAACCTAAATTACTTGTTTCAGATCTAGGGTGGTAGTTTAGCTTGTAACAAGTACATGTAATAGATTTTGCTATTGGAGCTAGGTGGAGATACAGTGGGTATTTTACACAGCCTCTAAACAGACAATCTGCTCCCATTGATAACTGTTAACTGTCAGAACATTTACACAACTCAAAATGTTTCAGTTTGAATATGAATCAGTTTTGCTGGTGTCAAACACTACATTTAGTGAAAATACCTGGATTGTTCCCAATTTAGAACTGGTGGATTTTGTCGTTTATATTAAGTACTTCAGTGCAGCCCTATCACAGGATGTGATGAAGTAGAAAGTCATAAATGTGGTGACTAGTGACAAGAATCGGTGACCAGATCACTGACCAAAGACACACACACAATGACATGGCAGCAAGAATACCATAATACTGCATCACGTGAAATACAGAAATCTGATAACCCGGACAGACTGGAATCCCATTCTTATTGGTCTCTCTAGGCTCTGGGATCCCACTTTGAAAAGTCTGAGGTTTTCTGAGATCTTTACAGTTGGCAAGATGCTTCCCAATTTGTGCTCGGAGTGTGGAGCGGTTTACTCATCCATTTCCTTCAGGAACTCTTCCAGTGTTAGTGCATCAGCTCTCCGGCCTGTTGGAGCTTTGCGCTCCAGGAACAGCCCCATGGGATCTCTGCGGGGTTTGGAAATGCTCCGACACCAGAGTGGTTCCTCGATGTCCAGCAGTTTCTGAATTGCATGGGAAATCACCTAAAACAACAGCACTTTGCATTTATATGGTGCCTTTAAAGTACTAAAAACATTAGTCATTTAACAAAAGCGCAATCACTGTTGTTGAGTCAAAATCCTGGAACTCCCTCACTAATAGCACTTCAGCGTCCCTACTGTGCAGGATTGAAGTGTTTGAAGTAAGTAGCACAATTAGAGATGGACAATAAATGCTGCTCAAGCCAGAAACCCTCACATCCACAAATGAATTTTTTGAAAACAAAACAAAATTTGCAATTGAGCTACTTACGGAGATATTGAGATGGTTTAGCAAAAGCTCAATGAGCGTCTTAAAGGTGAAGTGAGAAAGTCAGAGAAATTTAGGGAGGGAATTCTGGAGCTGAAGATGTGCTCACCAATGGTGAATGATTAAAATCAAGGATTCACAGGGAATCAGAACTGCAGAGGAGCAGACATATCAGTGAGTTGTATAACTGTATTCTGCTGCCCCTCCCCAGGCTTATAGCTATTTAAATGCAAAAGGAAAGAGAAGAGTCATGGAGTCACACAGCACGGAAACGGACGCTTCAGTCCAACTAGTCCATGCCGACCATGTTCCCAAACTAAACTAGTCCCATCTGCTTGCATTTGGTCAATATCCCTCCAAACTTTTCCTATTCAGTACTTATCCAAATGTCTTTTAAAAGTTATAGCTAGTATCTGCATCCACTACTTACAGTTCATTCCACACACTAACCATTCTGTGTAAAAAAGTTTCCCTTCATGTCCCTTTTAAATTTTTCTCTTCTCACCTTAAAAATACGCCCCCTAGTTTTGAACTCCCACACTCATGGAAAAGACCTTTGCTATTCACCTTCTCTATTTCACTCAAAATTTTATAAACCTCTATAAGGTCACCCCTCGACTTCTCACACTCCAGAGAAACATTCCCAGTCTATCCAGCCTATTGATATAACTCAAACTCTCCATTCCCAGTAACATCCTGGTAAATCTTTTCTGAACCCTTTCCAGTTCAATAATTTGCACCTATATAGCAGTTTTCACAATCACCAGAGATCTCGAAGTGCTTCTTAGCCAATTAAGTACATTTGGAATGTATCATTGTTGTAATGTGGGAAATTCGACAGTCAAATTGCTCCCAAATTCAGCATGTGATAAAGACCAGATCATTCATTTTAATGATATTGATCAAGGGAGAATTCTCCCCTGCTCCTCTTCAAAATAATGCCACGGAAACTTATATGTCCACCTGTGCAATGGACGGGCCTCGTGTTAGCATATTCTTTGCACTAGTTGAATTTTCAATTCGAAACTCCAATGTAAACCTTAGTAGAATTAGTCCATGTAAACTGATCACATTGTAATTATGTTATTTGGCAATGAGGGGTACTGCAGCACCACCAATGGCCACAGAATGTAATCCAGCGTGACTAGCTGATGTTGACAGGTTCTAATATAACCCATCTGATGTTACTATACCTAAGTTAATACCTTTTCTAGGAACTGTCTGCTGAGTCCTGTCATCTTCAGATTTGTTAACAGCTAATGGGAAGGGGTGGTAGAGTTTCTAATAAAAATATGGATGTGGAAGTTTCTATCGAGAACATAAGCATTAAGGACATAGCATCTGACTATAAGATGGCACCAACAGGAGATGGTCAAATCTTTCCTCAAACTTGCCAACTGACCTTCATATGTTCAAAGTCCGTGATTCCTATACGAGGCAAGGTGGAACAGTTGACGAAAATAAGTTTCCTGCCAGTGATTCTATTTGATATAAAACAGTCCTGGAAGAAAGGACAGAAAAACATTACACAAGAGTTGCTATCAAATTGAAATGGGCAGTGAGGAGGATGGGTGACACTGGGTCTCTGGGTGCATTTCAGTAACAGCTAGAAAATGGTATGGTTGATAATCAGAACTGGGGGAGTCAAATAGTCTGAGCTGTTTACTCAGTGTATTTTCTGGGGTATATTTATCCAGGAGTATTTTTGCTGGGTACATAAGGGCTGGAGGTATCTAATGTTATATTCACCTTGGGGTATGTAATTAGTCTATTTTCCCAGGGATATGGTTCCTCAGGAGAATATTTTCTTGGGGGTATATTTAACCAAGGGTATGCTTGCTGGGATAAAGTTGCTGGGGATATTTACTGAGAGGAATTTTGTTGGAATATCTGCCTGTGTATTTCATTGCTCAAGGACAAGTAAATGTTTTCCTGAGAATATATTTTGCTCAGGTGGATATTTTCTTTGCTGAGTATTTTGACAAGTATACTTAACCTAATGTATTTTTAAAAACCAAAAGAACTGTGGATGCTGTAAATGAGGAACAAAAATAGAAGTTGCTGGAAAAGCTCAACAGATCTGGCAGCATCTATGAAGAGAAAATCAGAGTTTTGGGTCCGGTATATTTCTTTGGAAGTATAACTCTCACAGGAGCATATTTGCCCTAACATATATTTACCCTGGGTGTATTTAGCCAATTTTATATTTCACATTCAGCAGATTTGCCAAAGGAATGTATTTGCCTGGATGGATATATCCTCAGGTATATAATTGCTCTGAAAGATATTGCCTAGGTGTATTTGTCTGAGTGTACATTTACTCTGGTATATGTTTGCCTACATGTAATGGTGCCTGTGTGTGTATTTGCCCAGGTGTATCTACCCAATATAAATGATCAGGACGTGCATTTTATGAACTTTAAGCTTATCTGTCCTGGTGTACATCTGACCAATGTATCCAACCACAGAGTGCTGAGACATCGCTCATTTGCATTCTGGGAGTGGACTTTGCAGTCAGCTCGGATGTGAAGGGTATTGTAGACGGACCTGCTATTAAGGAACGGTCAGCCCAAAGTTCAGAGGAGAAGAGAGGGAATATTGTGAGCGGAAAGCTAGTAGCGAGAGTTCCAGTGGGTAAAGGAGCATAAGCCCAAACAGCTTCTGGAAACTGTTGTTGGTAAGAGGTAAGTTTTGAGAAATTGTTATCACAGCAGAGAGCATCAGAAGCTTCAATTTAGTTTTAAGAGTAATTGACATTGTAAGGATTAATTAAGTTAAAGGGGTAAGACATGGCAGGAAAGCTCTAACTCATAGTCTGCTCCGCTTGCTCAATGTGGGAAGCCAGCGCATTCCCAGTGCCCGAGACCTGCATGTGTGCAAGAAGTGTCTCCAGTGCAGCTCCTGGAAGCCCGAGTTTCGAAGTTGGAGTGGCATCTGGGGACACTGTGGAGCGTTCGTGAAGTGGAGAATATTGTGGATAGCACGTATAGAGAGGTGGTTGCACCGCAGATTTAAGAGTCCACAGGCAGGAAGGGAATGGATGAACACCAGGCAGAGCAGGAGGGCTAAGTGCAGGAATCTCCCATGGCTATTCTCCTGCTAAATAGATACACCGTTTTGGATAGTGTTGAGGGGAATGGCGTCGCAGGGAATAACAGCAGCAGCCAAACTCATGGCACTATCATTGCCTCTGCTACAGAGGGATGGAGAAATAGGCGTAGAAATGCTATAAAGTTATAGGGGATTCAATCATAAGGGGAATAGATAGGTGTTTCTGTGGCCGCAAACGAGAATCCAGTATGATGTGTTGCCTCCCTGGTGCTAGGGTCCTGGATGTCTCGCATTGGTTGCAGGACATTCTGGAGGGGGAGGACGAACAGCCAGTGGTTGTGGTACCTGTTGGTACTAACAACATAGGTTAAAAAAAGGGGGATGAGGTCTTAAAAGCAGAATATGGAGAACTGGGAAGAAAGTTGAAATGTAGGACCTCAAAGTTTGTTATCTCAGCATTACTACCAGTGCCATGAGCTCGTCAGAGTAGAAACAGCAGGATATATAGGATGAACATGTGGCTGAAAAGATGGTGTGAGGGGGGGGGGGGGGGGGGGGGGGGGGGAGGGCTTCAGATTTGTTGGGCAGTGGGACCACTTCTGTGGGAGGTGGCACCTTACAAACTGGATGGGTTATACCTGGGCAGGACTGGGACTGATGTGCTTGGGGGGGATACAGGGGTAGAGTGGTTGAGGAGGGTTTAAACAAGTGTGGCAGGTGTGTGGGAACCAGAGGAGTAGAGCAGTTGACGCAGAAACGAAGGGAGAGGTCGAAACCAAGGCAAGCATGACAAAGTACAAGAACAGGCAGGGAAACACCTGAAAAGAGCAGGGGGGATGGTCTGAAATGCATGTGTTTCAATGTGAGAAGTATAATCGGCAAGGTAGGTGAACATAGAACAAAGAACAGTACAGCACAGTAGAGGCCCTTCGGCCCACGATGTTGTGCCAAACTTTTCTCCTAAACCTAAGGTCTATCTAACCTCCACCCCTACGTTATACTATCATCCATATGCCTATCCAGTAGCTGCTCAAATGCCCCAATGAAGCCGACTCCACTGCCCTCTCCGGCAATGCATTCCACGCCCCTACCACTCTCTGAGTAAAGAACCTACCTCTGACGTCTCCCCTATATCTACCTCCACTCACTTTAAAACTATGCCCCCTCGTAATAGCTACCTCCACCCTAGCAAAAAGTCTCTGGCTGTCCACTCTATCTATACCTCTGATCATTTTGTACACCTCTATCAAGTCACCTCTCATCCTTCGTCGTTCTAAAGAGAAAAGCCCTCACTCTCTCAACCTTCCCTCATGTGACCTTCCCTCCATTCCAGGCACCATCCTGGTAAATCTCCTCTGCACCTTTTCCAACACTTCCACATCTTTCCTGTAATGAAGCGACCAGAACTGGACACAATACTCCAGATGTGGCCGAACCAGGCTTTTGTATAGTTGGAGCATAACTTCACAGCTCTTGAACTCAATCCCTCTATTAATGAAAGCTAACACACCATACGCCTTCTTAACAACTCTATCCACCTGGGTGGCAGCTTTCAGGGAACTGTGGACATGAACCCCAAGATCCCTCTGCTTCTCCACACTGCCAAGAATCTTTCCATTAACCCTGTATTCTGCTTTCAAGTTTGTCCTTCCAAAATGAATCACCTCACACTTTTCAGGGTTAAACTCCATCTGCCATGAGCTTAAGAGCTTTGGTTAGTACTTGGAACTATGACATTATTGTGATTACAGAGACTTGGCTGAAAGAGGGATAGGACTGGCAGCTGAATGTCCCAGGATTTAGATGTTTCAGGTTTGATAGAAAGGGAGGTAAAAAGGGTGGGGGAGTTGCGTTACTGGTAAAGGAGTATCTCACAGCTGTACTGAGGGATGATACATCAGAGGACTTGTGCAGCGAGGCAAAATGGGCAGAATTCAGGAATAGGAAAGGTGAAATCACAATGCTGGGGTATACTACAGGCCTCCCTATGGCCAGCAAGAAATAGAGGAGGGATATGTAGACATATTTAGGAAAGATGTAAAAACAGCAGGGTCGTTGTGGTGGGTGATATTAACTTCCTCTGTATTGACTGGGACTCACTACGTGCTGGAGGCTTGGATGGGGTAGAATTTGTAAGGACCTTTCAGGAGGGATTCTTGACACAGTATGTAAACAGTCCAACTGGGAAGTGGGTTATCCTGGTTTTGGGAAGTGAACCCAGCCAGGTGAGTGAAGTTTCAGTGGGGGAGTAGGTAGTATTGAGGAGGCAGGGAAGTTGCAGAAGGATTTAGACAGGTTAGGAGAATGGAGAAAGAAGTGGCAGATGGAATACACGTGGGATAGTGTGAGGTCATGCACTTTGGTTGGAAGAATAGAGGCATAGACCATTTTCTAAATGGGAAGAAAATTCCAAAATCTGAAGTGCAAAGGAGCTTTGGAGTCCTATTCCAGGATTCTCTCAAGGTAAACTTGCAGGGCGAGTCGGTAGTTAAGAAGGCAAATACAATGTTGGCATTTATTTTGCGAGAACTAGAACATAAAAGCAGGGATGTACTTCTGAGGCTTTATAAAGCTCTGGTCAGACCTCATTTAGGGTATTTTGAGCTCCATATCTCAGGAAGGATGTACTGGCCCTGGAGCGGGTCCAGAGGAAGTTCATGAGAATGATCCTAGGAATCAAAGGCTTAAAATATGAGGAATATTTGAGGATTCTGGGTCCATACTTGATAGGAGTTTAGAAGGATGAGGGTGGAATCTAATTGAAACTTACAGAATACATGTGACCTGGAAGAGTGGATGTTGGGAAGATCTTTCCATTGGCAGAAGAGACTAGGACCCAAAGGCACATCCTTGGAGTGAAGGGAAGACCTTTTAGAACGGAGATAAGGAGAAACTTCTTCAGCCAGAGAGTGATGAATCTATGGAATTCATTGGCACAGAAGGCTGTTGAGGCCAGGTCATTGAATATTTTTAAGACAGAGATAGATATTTAGGTTCTTGATTGTCAAGGGGATCAAGGGTTAGGGGGAGACAGCGGGAGAATGGGTTGAGAAACTTATCAGCCATGATTGAATGTTGCAGCAGACTCAATGGGCCAAATGGCTTAATTTCTGCTACTATATCTTATGGTCTTACAAAAGAGGTCATGAAAAGTCATTACCAACAGGATTAAGGAGAATCCCAAGGCTCTTTATACATATACGAAAAGCAAGAAGGTAGCCAGGGAAAGGGTTGGCCCATTCAAGGACAAAGGAGGGAAATCTGTGCGTGGAGCCAGAAGAGGTAGGTGAGGTCCTAAACAAATATTTGTGTCAGTATTCACCAAAGAGAAGGAATTGTGGAGGATGATCTCAGGGAAGGAAGTGTTGAATTTCTAAGCCAAGTTGCTATTAAAAAGGAGGAGGTGTCTTAAAAAGTATTAAATTAGCAAAGTCCTCGGGTCCTGATAGAATCTATCCGAGAATATTGAGGGAGGCAAGAGAACAAATTGTAGAGCATTGACAGACATCTTTCATCCTCTCTGGCCACTGGAGAATAGGTAATGTTGTCTCATTGTTTAAGAAGGGTAGCAGGGATAATCCATGAAATTACAGGCCTGTGAGCCTCACGTTGGTGGTAGGGAAATTATTGGAAAAGATTCTCAGGGACAAGATCTATATGCATTTAGAAGCAAATGGACTGATTAGAAATTAGACGTCACATGGTATCGGGGTGAGTTCGTATGAAGGATACAGAACTGGCTTAGTCATAGGAGACAGAGGGTAGTGGTGGAAGGATGCTTTTTGGAATGGAGGGCTGTGACTAGTGGCATTCCACAGGGATCAATGCTGGGACCTCTGCTGTTTGTGGTCTGTGTAAATGATTTGGAGGAAAACATGGCTGATCTAATTAGTAAGTTTGCGGATAATACAAACATTGGCAGAATTGCGGATAGTGAGGAGGATTGTCAGAGGATACAGCTAGATATGTCAGTTGGAGGCATGGGCAGAAAAATGGCATATGGAGTTTAATCCAGACAAATGGTGAGATGATGCATTTTGGAAGGTCAAATATAGGTGGAAATTATACTGTGAATGGCAGAACCCTTAGGAGTATTGATATGCAGAGGGCTCTGGATGTGCAGGTCCACAGATCACTGAAGGTCACAACACAGGTAGATAATGTAGTAAAAAAGGCCTATGGCCATAAGACGTAGGAGCAGAAATTAGGCCATTCGGCCCATCAAGTCTTCTCCTCCATTCAATCATGGCTGATAAGTTCCGCAACCCCATTCTCCTGCTTTCTCCCCATAACCCTTGATCCCCTTGATAATCAAGAACCTATCTATCTCTGTCTTAAATGTATTCAATGACCTGGCCTCCACAGCCTTCTGTGGCAGTGAGTTCCATAGATTCACCACTCTGGCTGAAGAAGTTTCTCCTTATCTCTGTTCTAAAAGGTCTTCCCTTTACTCCAAGGCTGTGCCTTCATGCTTGCCTTCATTGGAAGTGGCATTGAATATAAGGATAGACAAGTTATGCTGCAGCTTTATAGAACTTTAGTTCGATCACATTTGGAATAATGTGCACAGTTCTGGTCACCACATTACCAGAAGGATGTGGCTGCTTTGGAGAGGGTACAGAAAACAGGGTACATGTTGCCTGGTATGGAGAATTTTAGATTTGAATGAATGTTGGATAGACTGGGTTTGTTTTCACTGGGATGCAGGAGGTTGAGGGGTGATCTGATATGAGTTTATAAGATTGTGAATGGCATGGATAGGGTGGAGGGTGGAGGGGTCAGTTACTAGGGGACACGGGTTCAAGGTGAAGGGGGAAGGGGGAAGGGGGTAAGTTTAAAAGAGATATACGAAGCAAGTTTTTCACACAAAGGGTGGTGCATGTATGGAACATGTTGCCAGTGGTGGTGGTCAAAGTAGACACAATAACAGCATTCAAGAAACATCTGAACAAATACATCAATAGGAAGGGAATAGAGCGATACGGATCCTGTAAGTGAAGACAGTTTTAGTACGGAAAGGCAAAATGTGTTGGTGCAGGCTTGGAGGGCCAAAGGATGTGTTCCCGTGATGTATTGTTCTTTGTTCTATTCATCAGCCCCGTAGCTATCTTCTTCTTCAGGAATGTGTACTAGCAAAGTTCAGGCATCAGAAAGAGCATACAATCTGTCAAACACCATTTTACGCAAAGCGCATGTGACAGATTCTGCAGATTGTGGAATATACTTTTCAAGCATTTCAGAATTCATTGAACTCATCCGCAGTCCTGATAGACTGCCCAAGGAGAATGCTAATTTTTTTTTAATTCATTCATTGTATGACTTTTATTTAGCCCTTAGTCCAACTTCACCTATTAACTTACTATTCTCTATGCTAGTGTCAGTTGTATCCCCAGGTATTATACAAATCCTGAAATTCTCTTCTGCTGTTCTTTCTTGGTTTCCACACCTGTGCCAAGTTAGTTTGAAGCCTTAACAAAAGCACTAGCAAAATGCCCCATAAGGACCTTAGTACCAGCTCTGTTCAGAAGCAATCTGTCCAGCTTGTACAGGTGTCATCGTTGTCGAAGTCATTTCCAGTGGAACACAGCAACCTAAAGCCCTCCCTCCTGCACCATCTTTCCAGCTACACATTCATCTGCCTTGTCCACTTATTTCTGAACTAGTTTGCAGATGGCACTGCGGGTAATCTTCAAATTACTACATTTGAGGATCAAGAACAGAAATTGCTGGAAAAACTCAGCAGGTCTGGCAGCATGTGTGGGGAGAAAGCAGAGATACCATTTCGAATCTGGTAACTCTTCAAAGTTGATGGTGAGAAGCGACTGAGGAGGAAGCTGGGAGACACTGGTTCATCACCACAACACAGAAGGGGATTGCAGAGGACCTGGTGCTCAGTAAGAGGAACAGTATCCCACAGAGGCAACCAATGAGAAGTAACTGAGGAGGATTCTCAGAGAAGTTGAAGTAGTCACTACAACTGTCAGTTCGAGTAGCAGCTTTACCTTGAGCAGCAACCAGGAACCAGAATCAGACAGGCCGAAGACAACAATCAGAGCAGGTAAAACATTGAACAAAGGGCATTTTGGACCAATTTTGAGTAGTAGCCTTTTCTTGATACTAAATTGGAGGAAGGCTAATTACTACAATATTTGGCAGTAACTGGGGAATGTAGATTGGGGTGACTCTTTGAGGGTAAATCCATATCTGGCATGTGGGAATCTTTTAAAGCAGCAGTTGATTAGAGTTCATGACCAACATGTTCCTGTGAAAATGAAGGATAAGGATGGGAAGATTTGGGAATCTTGGATGATAAGAGAAATAGAGAGCTTAGTCAAAAAGAAAAAGGAAACGCAAATAAGATTTAGGCAACTGAAGACAGACAGAGCCCTCAAAAATATAAAAATAGCTGGAAAGAACTTAAATAAGGAGAATAGGAGGGCTAAAAGGGGCCATGAAATATCCTTGGCAAACAGGATTAAAGGAAAATCTTTAGGCATTTTACACATATAAAGGAACCAGGAGGATAGTTGGGGAAAAGGTAGGTCCACTCAAGAATAAAGGAGGAAATTTATGATTGGGAGCCGGAGGAAATGAGCGAGGTCTTTAATGAATACTTTGCATCAGTATTCACCAAGGAGAAGGACATGATAGATGGTGAGTCTCGGGAGGGGTATGTTGATATTCTGGGGCATGTCAATATAAAAGAGGAGGTTGTGTTCGATGTTTCGAAAAGCATTAAGGTAGACAAATCCCCAGGACCTGATGGTATCTACCTGAGAATACTGAGGGAGGCAGGTGAGGAAATTGCTGGGGCCTTGTATGAAATCTTTGTATCCTCTTTAGTTACATGAGAGGACCCAGAGAATAGCCAATGTTATTCCTTTGTTTAAGAAGGGCAACAGGGATAATCAGGAAATTACAGGCTGGTGAGCCTTATGTCAGTGGTAGGGAAATTATTGGAGAAGATTCTTCGGGACAGATCATACTCATATTCGGAAAAATATGAGCAGCAACAGGCAGCATCGCTTTGTCCGGGTAAGGCCATGTCTCACAAACTTCATTGTGTGTAGCAGTCCCCTGGCACTCACCTTGTACTGGGGGAAGCCCAGTTTTTGGATCCAGTTGCCCACGTCCTTCTCGTTCCAGCGCTGACTACGGGGCACCACCAGCGGATGACAGCCGCAGCGACATTCCCCGGAGCACGGGTACCTGGCCATCCGGGCTCAGCGCTTACCGACTGGGCCCCCGTCACCACAGCAACCATTGCTAGGAGACCAACCTTCTACGTCACGGCTGCCCCGGTAACCAGGAAGCCCCACCCCCTTCATCCGGGGCCACCTTCCCCTTTTCCGGGATGCCGCGGGAGAGATCGAACTCCGACCAGCTCCAGTTTCTCTCATTGTTTTTCTTGTGCGCTCCGGAGATATGCAATAAGAATGTTGAATCAAGTTTTGATAGGGTTTTCCTTTCCGTCTACACATCAGGAAGTCCGGCTCCTGATGATCATAGGGGCGGGGCTTTGCTACCTGTTCGGGTCCCAAATAGCGACACCTTTCAGAAATGGAGGCGGGGCCTCACCTTTCCTTCCAATGACTGTCCTTAGCGGTTTCACGGAAGAGGCGGGCCGTGACCGTGATCCTCGGTTACGTCCGTCCATCCTCGGCAGTTTCCGTGAGGAGGTGGGCCTTAGTCGGGATCCTCGGTTACGTCCGTCAGTGAGGCGGGTCGTGGCTGAGACGTTCGGTCCTCGGCTATTTCCGCCCCCTTCCCTCTTCGGTTCGGTGGCTGACGATGGCGAGCGGGGCGGCCGCTGGACGCTGTCCCCTTGAGGCGGAGCCGCCGCTGGAGGAAGAGGTGGAGGTCGAGCGGCATTCAGAGGTGGGGAGGACGCTGTGTCGGAGCGGGATGAAGATGGGGATGAACCTAGGGGTGCCAGGGGCTGACAAGCAGCCGCAGGCGGAGGAGGAGAAAGTGCAGCGGAGCCGGGGCCCAGTACCAGGTAAGAACCCCATTCCCCCCTCTCCCCGGGCTGGCGACCCCCTCAATTGCATTGGGGGAAAGTCCCGACCCTAACTGCATCCAACCTGCACATTTTGCAACATAAGAAACGCATTGCAAAGAATAAAAATCCACCCAGAGCCTGTGCCTTTGCATTGACAGAGACTGGCTCTGTGCAGACTGACATCAACATGCATGTCTTTATATTATATCCTGCCCTCTGAAATGGCTGGATTTTTAAAATTTTGGAGCCGAATCTGCCTCTTAAAATCTGCATTTTCTTTAAATCGGTAATTTAAAGAGCATTTAGGAGGAATCTAGATTTTCCCTCGTGAAATGTCAAAGCTATTTTTTACAGGGGTGAACTGTGAGTGTAGAATATCGGAGTAAATCTGACAGATTTTTATCTTGATTGTCACTTCGACTTGAAATCCGGCAAGGAAGTGTTTGTTTTTATGAAACAGTATTCAGATGTCACCTTTTATTTTCGCTGACAGTGCTGGTTTTCTGCAGGTTTTATAGTGAATTAGTAGAATTTGTGGTTAGCTCTTGGAAAGCGCTGCGTGACAGAATGGTGGAGATAGGTTCAATAGAGGCTTTCAAAGGGAAACAATATTTACACAGCTGTGAGGAAAATACCGTGTGACAAGGCACTAACTGTTATCATTCTGATGACTGAGGATAGCCTGAAGAGTTTGTTTGCCAAAGGCGAATATGCAGTTGCTCTGTGTACATCTCCAACAATCTGTATTTGCGCAGTATCATAATTCCAGGAAAAATGACTGACGTTCAACATCGACTCAAAACAGCACCGGAAATGAGAGCGCTTCAGTTATGTTGGCGAAAGTATAACGGGATACATTGGTATTGTCCTTGGAGTGGTGAAAATTAATTGATAGAGGTGTTCTCTATAGAGAGACTTTTCACAAGGTGGACCTGGAAAAGGTGTTTCCCCTCTTGGGTCTGTCTAGAACTAGAGGGCACTATTTTAAAATTCGGGGTCACCTTTTTAGGTTAGAGATGAGAAATGTTTTTCTCGGATCTGAGGCCCGTACGACTTTGGAACAGTGGAAATCACCGCAATCAGTGAAGATACCTCTCCCACAATAACACTCAACACTAGAGCCCCCCAAGGATGCGTCTTCAGCCCTCTGCTATACACTCACGACTGTCGCCAAATTCCGAACAAATGCCATCTACAAGTTCGGTGATGACACAATTGTGGTTGGGACAGATAGCTCAATGACGAGTCAAAATACAGAAGGGGGAATAGAGGGCTTGGTGATGTGGTGCAATGAAGACAACCTCTCTCTCCTTTATTCATTGACGGGATGAGGGTGACGCTGGCTAGGCAGCATTTATTGCCCATCCCTAATTGCCCATAGGACAGTTAAGTTAAGGGCATTGCTTTGGGTCTGGAGTCATACATACACCAGACCAGATAAGGATGGCAGCTTCCTTCCCTAAAGGACATTAGTGAACCAGATGGGTTTTTCTGACGATCGATTCACGGTCATCATTAGATTCTCAATTCCAGATATTTAGTGAATTCAAATTCTGGCATCTGTTGGGGTTTTGAACCTGGGTCCCCAGAACATTAGCTGGGTCTCTGGATTAACAGTCCAGCGATAATACCACTAGGCCATCACCTCCCCTGTCTCTCTCAAAGTCGGCAAAACTAAAGAACTGATCATCAACTTCAGAACGAAAGGAGGAGAACACGCCCCCATCTACATCAATGGAACTGAGGTTGAGAGGGGGAACAGCATCAAGTTCCTCAGAGTGACGATAACCGACAACCTGTCCTGGACTTCCCACGTAGATGCGACAGTCAAAAAGGCACAACAATACCTCTTCTTCCTCAGGTGGCTCAGGAAATTTGGCCTGTCTATAAGGTCCTTGATCAACTTCTACAGATGCACCATTGAAAGCATACTGTCCAGGTGCACAATGGCCTGGTATGGCAACTGCTCTGCCCAGGACTGTAAGAGACTACAGAAGGTGTGCACAGGCCAGACCTTCGTGGAAGCCAACCTTCCATCTATGGACTCCATTTACAGGGCTTGCTGCTGCGGAAAGGCTGCCAACATCATCAAAGACCTATCACACCCCGGTAATGACTTCCTACAACCACTTTCGTCAGGCAGAAAACACAGAAGCCTGAACACACTCTCCAGCAGGTCAGGAACAGCTTCTTCTCAGCCGTTATTAGACTGATGAATGGACTGTCTACCTTCAAATAATGCTGATCTTGCTAACGTTGATCTCACTTAGCACAAGCCCTGTGCAGTGCAAGGGGGAGGTGATGGCCTAGTGGTATTATCACGGAACTGTTAATCCAGAGACCAGATGTGATGTTCTGAGGACCCGGTCGAATCCTGCCACAGCAGATGGTGGAATTTGAATTTGATAAATATCTGGAATTACGAGTGTTATAAATCCATTGCTGATTATCGGTGGGGGGAATCCCATCTGGTTCACTCATGTCCTTTAGGGAAGGAAACTGCCATCCTTACCTGGTCTGGCCTATGTGTGACTCCAGACCCACAGCAATGTGGTTGTCTCCTAACTGCCCTATGGGCAATTAGGGATGGGCAATAAACACTGCCTAGCCAGTGACACCCTCATCCCATGAATGAATAAAGAAAAAAAAGTAACCTATATGCTTCTGTCTAAGAGTTTTTT